ATAATTATTTTCAGTCAAAAATAGCTACAAAAAAAATCTTCAAAATATTTGTAAACCAATATCACGCAATAAAGTGCTTACATCTCAAAACACACCAATTAAACTGTACAATACAAAACCAGAGAATACAACTCAGAAAGGTCGTTTTATTACTCATCATTATTCAGGTATACCGCCAAAATATCAAGCGGACGTAGTAGCAAGCATACCACTTGACTTAAAATTATAAAATGAATTATTAAAATTAAAATTACATAATTCAGGAGGCAATTTCTCAGGAATAACGGTATAAAAATCACGATGTTTGACCTCAACGACAGAGTCTCTCAGATAGGGCCATGTTACTCTATCTGCTGATATTCAAGACGTCATTCACTTCCACATACACTATCAAGAAACGAGACAGCAGCACTGACTTAATCTGAAAAGGACGCCTTCAGACAACGGCGCCGTCGTCTACAGTAAAAGCTTAATTCTATCTACTTTATAACATTACTACTACGTAAGCAACACTACACATACTATCTCTTACAAACACACTAGTAATGACACTTTACCTTTATCACATACGTATATAATACAGTTTGTACTATAGAAAAAAAACCTTTAACAACCAGAAAAAAGACATTACTCATCCAATACATTTCAACCAAATGTATATTCCAGTTTGAATTCTTGTTATATAGAATTAATGTTATTTCTTAATATTACGTTGTTTTATCATTTTAATGAATGTCCTAGGATTGTTTTAAAAGACTAAATTACGAGCAGTTCCGCAATATTTTATATTATTGTATCGAATCCTGATACTCTGCTTTTTAACGTTTAACTAAGACTTGAAGGATTCCTACAACATATACAGGTATTTTCGTTTTACATGATGATTTTTTTTTTATTTCTTGAAATAAATGCACACTGAACCAATCTATGTCCGTTTTGTTTTTATTTTACAGGTGAATGAAATGGCTTCGAACGGAAGATCTTGTAAAACTAAGCCCGACGTATTCTGCTACATCTGCGGCGAATATTCAATTGATTCTAACATGACTAGCCACCTTGACACCATTTGTCGGAAGAATCACTGGAAAAGGCCTTGAATTATTCAACTAGAAAGAGAACAGATTAAAATTGTTTTGTGTCAGTCTCACTATCTTCCCAACTGAGCAATGTTGAGAGGAACAGGATCATTCAGGCCTTTCGCAATGGCACCAAAATTCATACTCTAGAGAAAACAATTCACTAAGACTTAAGTGTCTAGAGAGTGCCTTAATCATAAGGTCATCTAGAGTAAACATTTCGCCATTCCTGGTAGATCTTTTGTTATCACAGTGTGGGATATCTACTTACAAAAGTGATTGAAAGAAGAAGAAAAAAAACTCATCTGGATATATACAACGAAAAAAAAGCTGGATATATATAAAGAAAAAAACATTCTAAAAAATTCTAAAATTCCCAGCACCACTCGTTCGTGCGCATGTATATTCATACCAGCATAACAAATTTAGTCCGATAAAGTCCTGAAGGGCGAAACGCATCACACGTAAACTTTTTCCACTATGCCGTACATTCTCCCCAATATATATATATATATATATATATATATTCTGTATGACTACTCGTTGGCCAATGTTAGACTCTTCCGCCTACTATAAGTTTAGTAGGAGAGAAGGATTCGGGGAACAGTGAACAGTAAATAGATTGAGCGCTAGTTCATTCGATACACTCTCACTAGTCGTGTAATACTCTTCTGGTGTACTTACTGTTTAATATACGATATGTCTGCAAACCTGGTTTTTGTTACTACTTAAACCCTTTACTTGGTCACAACAGTTATCAACTGGCACCAAAATTTTGCTGTAATTTCGAAAATACTACACAACAGCTATGAACACATTACACAAGAAACAACCTGCCTATAGTTTCTTTCAAAAGAAATAATAACATCAGACAAAATTTAACAAATGTAAGCGTCCACGCTGAAAACAATATTGGTGTTTTGGATCGTTGTACTCCTGAAAACACTCACAGAAAAGAAAACGCTGTGTGTTGTACAACAACATGAGTCAAGTGAATTCTATCAGAAATCCAAAGAGAAACATTCCGATTTCTATAGAGGGTGGCAATTGTACTTTTTCCCAGTTAATATACGAAGCCCAATGTACCAAACATCACTTAATTTATGTGGGCTGCACATCGGAAAAATTAAACATTCAATGGAGACTGATATGATATCAGGCACAACTATGTGACATCAACAGAGCTTGCAGAACATTTTATTATAAACGACTTTAATTTCGACAAACATCTTCGGGTGCACATTCTGAAAAAAATGTACTGAATCAACGGACCTTTCGCCTCTGAGAACGCATGAATATTGTTACGTATGCAAATTACTAACTTCCCACCCTCTTCTGTCATTCCCCAGGGGTGGGGGATGACAGGAGATATTCTATTACTACTACTAAGTTGTTTGATATATTAAGAACATTTCATATACATTCCTTCACGCTAGCGACGTTTCACTCGTTTTGACACGTTCATATTTTTCATAATAAGACAGCGACGCTTGTACAAAGACTTATCATTTTTTGTAGATTTATATATTCTATACTTGATGTATACATATAGTTATGTATATTTATACTTAAGATGTTTGATTAATTCCTCTTAGTAATTAATTAAGTAACGCAAAATTTCAAGATGTGCACAATCACCATCATATTACGCACGTTCCGGTTGCATGTCATTCATGTTGGCTGCGTTTCATTCATTTTGTCGCGTTGATTACCATTACATCCGTTTATTTCCAGAAAAGCGACGTTTGTACAAAGATTTGTACATTTTTTGCATATTTTTTAATATTTTTATACTCGTATGCAATTTTAAAAAATAACTTGAAGAAGACTGTCTAAATATTGCTGAATATTATCAAACATTGTCTGTTATTATCAAAAATTGTCTTTTATTATTTTAATTGCGCTCTTCCCTAAGTGTTGGAAAAATATCTGAAGTGTTGCGTCAATACTTTTGTCAGTTACTAATAATAATAATAATAATAATAATAATAATAATAATAATAATGTCTGTTTGATTGCTTCCGAGTATACTCCTCTGTTAGATTTGTGAGCGAATCTCTGTTACAAACATTTGCAGTTCAAGCAAATGCTTTATACCGCAACTGTGCTGAGATAATCACAAATAGTTTTTGGCGGGTTGAAGGCGCATAATCTGTTTGAACAAGGACAGTACGGTGCTAGCAAAAAAACCCTCGATGTCTTCAGAACAGTTCCATCAATCCGATCTCACAAGACATGAGTCAACATATGGTATAGGTGTAAGTCAATTCGCAATGGTGCCACGCCCTGGGATCAACTCACAGTGATGCAAGGATTATGACATTAATTCTGAAAAGGCGCGTAGGTTTTGAACAGTTTCATAATATATATATATATATATATATATATATATATATATATATATATATATATATATATATATATATATATATATATATATGGGGGTGTTGTGTGTGTGTGTGTGTAATAAAATATAATTTTAAGGTATGCTATATTATGGGTTAAAGTGCTCAGTAGCAAGGATGGAACGTATGTAAATATAAAAATGGATATTGAAACCAACACCCACTTGATCTATCTCTTACTGTTACATCCCCGGGCAACGCCGGGCTCTACTGCTAGTATATGATATATTTGTCCATCCTTGCAATAGTGCACGTGCTATTAACCTTGAGCTTCTTGATAAGATCCATAGAAGAATCAGCAATATTATCAGTCCTGATCATGTTTGTCATTTTGGTCCCTTTCCCCTTTCCTAATCACATGCGATGATATGTCATATATATATATATATATATATATATATATATATATATATATATATATATATAATTTTAGGATATTACAAGAAAAACATGTAATAATAGCTAGACAATTTCAGTTGTGCTTCAACGAATAACGATGCGTCTCCTCAGGAGTTTATAAAATTACTGGCGAGTGAACGATTAATTTAGTTTCAAAAGCAAAATACATTCTCATTTTTAAAAAAAAAATTTAAGGCTTGAGGGCTTTACCCTGATCAGCCAATCGAAAGTGGCCTACGTTAAATTCAAACTAATCGTTTAGGTGAAACCAAGGTAGGTAGGTTCCTGGCTCTTTAGGGTTAATTTTGTTTATCCCAGCTCTACTTAGCGTAATAAGAACTCTACGTTTTAGCTTTCTTACTCGCTTGTTTTTTTTTCTTTGGACTAAAAACTTAAGGCACTGGACGATTTGTTTCGCCTTATTCGAATGTTTCTAGTTTTTACTCTTTTTTTGCCAATTTTCCTCGGGTACCCATTTGTTTCGATATACTTGCAAATTCTGCTATCCGAGGTATTTTTACCAAACGAGTATTACTATTAGTAATATATATATACATATATATATATATATATATATATATATATATATATATATATATATATATATATATATATATATATATATATATATATATATATATATATATATATATATATATATATATATATATATATATATATATATATATATATATATATATATATATATATATATATATATATATATATATATATATATATATATATATATATATATATATATATATATATATATATATATATATATATATATATATATATATATTTTTTTTTCTTTTCTTTTTTCTCTCCCTACTTTCTATTTAACTCTTTTCATTCACCTACTTTTCTCTTATTATATATCCTACCCTTTCATTCATTTAACCCTTTCTCTTTTCTTTTGCTCACACACTTCTCTTTCTCCCACCACCTCAATCGTTTTGATATTCCTTCCTCTCTGTCAGTTCTTCCTTTCCTCCCACCCTCTTTTCCTTTCTTCACTCTTTCTTTTTTTTTTTTCTCTCTCGCGTTCCTTCTCTTTCCTATTCTTTCCATATCTCCAATAAACTCATTGCTACACATGCTCTGATCTTTACGTTGCATGAAACCGTCAATTTCTATAGCCAATCCCCGGAGAGCGCCAACTAGAAGGGAGACAACTCCACTTCCCCATCCGCAGGCCCGATATTTGCCTTTTTCGCGACTCCCGCCACCAGTACTTTGTCCATTTCTTTTTCATATTCAACTGGTCAGTTGGGAAATCAGTCCGTTGTAAGACGATTTGCCCTTTTCTCTGTCAAACAACGACCAAAGCCTCGAAACGACTCCTTTCATCTTGCGCAGTGAGAAAAGAAGACAGCAACAATAATTAATAATATTCTCAATAACAACATCTATCCTATAATAAAGAAAAAAAATGCAGTGTTACTTTATCGGTCACGCAGCCTAATCTCCTCTATTTAGTTGCATTCCATTATGCTAACCTGGGACAATAGTTAATTGTTTAAATAAAAATCCGAGATAACTCATACGAGAATTATAGCTAATGCAATTGCAAAATTACCTAAGAATATTTTTTACGCTAGGCTTACGATCATATCACGTTGAAACAGCAGTTACCGTACTATCACCGAAGTTAAGCAACGTAAAACTTGATCTGTACTTAGATGGGTAACACTTTAGGACTACAAGATGCTGTAAGCTTGGATGTGCAAGCGATATAATTGCTTATCAAACTTTTGCAGGTTATTTAAAAATAGAAAATATTTTTCTATTATACGAATTTGGGGAAGATAATAATGATTTACTGATTCAAGTGCTACTGATTAATCCATGGCTGGCGGGGTACAAGAGCTGGATTTATACATCCCCTAGGGTATTTGTACATAAGGGAATATAATGAACCCAACTGGATTTGGACCTCGCCTCTCTATCACGTTGAAATACGAGTTCTCGTACGATCACTGATGTCAAGCAACGTCGAGTCTGGTCAGTACCTAAACGGGTGACCGCTTGGGAATACCATGTGCTGTAAGCTTGGATGTGCGGGTGGTGTAATAGATTATGGCTCGGAATTGTTAATCGGAGAGCTGTGTTCCAATTCCAGTTGCTTTCGTCATATTAACTTACGCAAAAATACGCATGGAAATGTTATGAATAAAACTTGTATCAATAAATCATTATTATCCCAAACAAAAATTTCTTACAATCTAAAAATATATTACTTTGCCGTTCGGCTACGAAGATTAAAAAATAAAATGCATTTACATATATATAGATAGATAGATAGATAATATTAGTGGTAAATATACACATACATATGCAAAATATATAAATATATATATACATACATACACATACATATATATTTTTTTGAATAAAAAAATTCCAAGAGGATAGAATCCAGGTAGAACTCAATATCCAGGACAGAGTAAGGATATAATAAAAAGCTTAAACACTAATATTCCATGAATATTAGTGTTTAAGCTTTTTTATATATATATATATATATATATATATATATATATATATATATATATATATATATATATATATATATTGAACAATAAAAAAAAATTAAAAAATTAAAATCTTCAGGTACACTGGGTTTGTAGATTAATATTCTTTCGTTTTTTTTTATTATTATTTCATTTAGATTCCTCGACTAGTTCCGGCCAAAATGGCCATCATCAGGAGAAGAAATATTTCTGCTTGCTGGGAGCAATAAACTACAGAAATGAATGTCATGATGGAGAAAATGAACTTTTGTCTGTAGTTTTCATTTGTTTTTTTTTTTTGTTTTGTTTTGTTTTTTTTTGTCTTTTTAACATGAATTTTTTAACATTCCTTGTGTTGGTCAAACAGTCTCTTTTAAGTTGTTATTTGAGATAAGAGCTGGATGGATCTATGCTTCTCTGAATTCCCTTGGTCAGTTTGACAGTTTTATTGGTCCTGGAAAGGGGATGTGTCTCTGTTAAATATTTGTGTGTGTGTTATTTGGTTCTTAGGGAATGAGGGAGTATGATATGTGTAAGCGTGTATATATATATATATATATATATATATATATATATACTGACAAACCTCTCATCAACGGAAAGGGTGGTCCGCTAAAGCTGATTGTCCGTGGAAGGGAAGGGATTTTTTATTAAAACACTATAGTAACTAGTTATGATCATAATATAAATACTATAAGCATGTATATATGATATAAATAAATATATACTTAATATAGATATATTAATCAAAACAAAAAAAATAATAGATTTCTCACAGCTACTTTCTCACGGACGCACTAATATATCGTACTTTATATACTGTACACCCGCAAATTTTGGAAGACATCTCTGACGATGTAAGATTTTTTTCTGCAAATTTTTCTTTATTTTGCCTGCAGATTTTGTCCGTTGCATCCGAAGTCCGTTGATGGGAGGCCGTAAATCAGAGGTGTGTCTGTATGTGTGTATATATATATATATATATATATATATATATATATATATATATATATATATATATATATCGGTAAATCGAATCGACTTCTCTCAGTCACTGTGTGTTTATCTAAAAATAAATACGCTTAAATTCAACTTAATTTCCGCCGTGCGTCAAAGGCTTACGGATAAAATCTCCGACTGACGCTAATTCAGCCGAGTTTCAATCCTAGCTAAAAGCAATCGGACGTCTAGTCACACTCCCGAAGCAGTCTGTCTGTGGATTACTATATATATATATATATATATATGTATGTATGTTATTATATCTCGTTATTATTACTAGCAATACATTAATGATTACCAGAAATGCATTTTGGAAAAAATATATTACCGTCAATTTTTCTTTTCATGAAAAAATGTCAGATCAGACCAAGGAAGGAGAACTGATGCCGTATCTGGGCGGGTGCAGCTTTGACAGTGTTTAAAATTGATTACGAGGCCTTGTGGGTGATGATTTTTTTTTCCAACCTGAAGCCATTATCACACAGACGAAACGCTGTGAACCTTTCGCTATCTGTATTATTTTGGCAAATCTTTAAACGAGATAAATTTCATATTTTTTTCCAGTTAAGACTTTCAAAACTAGGACCCGCCGTGCCGCTTACACAGAGTCAAGTCAACGTCATTCTCTTCTTCACATTGCTTTGTTATCGAATAAGATCAACTCACGGCTTTTTCTTCATGAGTGTTACTTTGTTGAACAGACTCTCGGTCTTAACCTTTTCAAATCTCGGGTCAACCAATATCTATTCTCTATAGCCTCATAATATAAAACCTTTTCTCCTCCCCTTACAACACTTACCCAGTAAAGCTCTATATTAATTGCCTCTTACCCCTTGTATTAGTTGAACGAAAATAAAGAAAATTATTTAAAAAAAACAAGTGGCTGTTTCTTAGTCAAATGAGAAAAAAACAATAATAATATTGTTGGCATCTTCACGGTAGATATCAAAATAGTTACAAATGCTTACCCACCGTTCAATAGGTAGCTGGGCATGAAGTCATTTTTCTCTATCACCAGTAAAGAGGTGGTCAAGGCTCAAAGAGTTATGATTGTACCTGAAACCTCCCCCTCTAAATAGGACCCCGTCGGCATTAATAGGTTAACTTCGATTTCTCGATCTTATCGGTTCAGTCAAATATAGAGACAATTCGGCGATTTAATGAGACTCAATACACAACGCCCTTCCGACTAAGAAACATTTAACTTACGCTGAAAAGCAACAGCAAAAATAAAAATGAAATCGACAAAAACATTTTAAAATAAGCAGGAAGATATTGTAACAAAATATTATCTTGTATTAGTAATGACTATCAGATTTGGTTAGAGTGAACTATGTTGTCTCGACAAGTATCAATATTCTTTTTTCTTTTTTTATGCAGTTTTCAATAAACTAAATATAAAATTTTTCTTTTTAATTAATTTTCGTTTCACGAATTGATGACTTAAACTTTGAGGACACTTAAATTGATAAAATTTTGGTATCTGTCTATATTTCTGAGATGAGGTATTATGTACACTATTTACATTATTCGGACTATTGTCCTCATCTTTGTCGCCATATTTATTACAGCGTTTCGGCCTTTCAGTATCTATCTATATTTCTGAGATGAGGTATTAAGTACACTATTTACATTATTCGGACTATTGTCCTCATCTTTGTCGCCATACTTATTACAGCGTTTCGGCCTTTCAGTATCTGTCTATATTTCTGAGATGAGGTATTAAGTACACTATTTACATTATTCGGACTATTGTCCTCATCTTTGTCGCCATATTTATTACAGCGTTTCGGCCTTTCAGTATCTATCTATATTTCTGAGATGAGGTATTATTTCATTTACATTATTCGGACTATTGTCCTCATCTTTGTCGCCATATATTTATTACAGCGTTTTCGGCCTTTCAGTATCTGTCTATATTTCTGAGATGAGGTATTAAGTACACTATTTACATTATTCGACTATTGTCCTCATCTTTGTCGCCATATTTATTACAGCGTTTTGGCCTTCAGTATCTATCTATATTTTGAGATGAGGCCATATTTTATTATTCGGACTATTGTCCGCATCTTTGTCGCCATATTTATTCAGTTTCGGCCTTTCAGTATGTCTATATTTTTGAGATGAGGTATTAAGTACACTATTTACATTATTCGGACTATTGTCCTCGTCTTTGTCGCCATATTTATTACAGCGTTTCGGCCTTTCAGTGTCTATCTATATTTCTGAGATGAGACATTATATACACTATTTACATTATTCGGACTATTGTCCTCATCTTTGTCGCCATATTTATTACAACGTTTCGGCCCTTCAGTATCTGTCTATATTTCTGAGATGATGTATTAAGTACACTATTTACATTATTCGGACTATTGTCCTCATCTTTGTCGCCATATTTAGCGTTTCGGTCGTTGTACGCTCCGGTCTTCTTCAGGTGGTTGGAATGTCGAACTGAACCCTTTATTTCTCTCACTGGAGTAGACTGTTCTAGTTCCACGTGCCATGTTTATAATGGATGACAGTTATCAGTTATCTCCTGTTAATTCCCCACTCCAAGTTCTCCACTGCCTTAACCGGGTATTGAACTCCTACTGTTTGGGTCCTGTCACTGGATCTAACCAACGCCTTTATTCACTGTGCCATGTATCCTTGAGGCGACAAAGATGAGGACAATAGTCCGAATAAGGTAAATAGTGATAAAATTTTATACATACATACATATGATAATGAAAAATATCCTATTTGTCATCCTCCATATAATTTTGTTTGGCAGTTTACTTTGAAATCTATTTTCCAAAGTAATTTATTTTTAAAATCATCAAAACCAAAGTTTTGCAAGATTGGACTAAACGCCAATGAGTGAAACCGCGAATATTGATTCCCTGGTTGGTAAGATTATTTCGTATATAGGAGTGATGCAGAAATCTGTATTTTAATTAATATCAAAATAAGGAACTTGACGAGCTGTTCGTCCCGGATAAATTGTCATCATAATAATGTACCTCAGTGACAAAGAAGAAACGGAATAGACTCGATATAGCGCCGCTACTCACAAATTCCGTGTTGATACTCATTCCACGTATTCATAACGCAACGGGTTGTGCCTCAAGAGCCACGTATTCACCCCCCTTTCCTTAGCAGCTCCATCGCAGAGCATTAGCTGGGTCAAGCAAGAATATACAAGTGATAGAATTTTGAGGAATTAGAACAATCAATATAGTAATTCATCGAATCTAGAAGAATCCTCAATAAAATGCACAAAGCATTGGACTTGGATGTGTATCACCACGGAATTTGTGAGTAGCGGCGCTATATCGAGTCTATTCAGTTTCTTCCTCATCACCGAGGTTGGTATGACGATTGCGTTCTATCGAAACGGTCCGGGTTCGATTCTCGGTAGCGGATTCGCACTGCTGATGAGTCCTAAATAGAACAAAACGCCCGTGGTGTGAATATATATATATATATATATATATATATATATAGAGAGAGAGAGAGAGAGACTCCTCCACTTCTTTCAATTGCGTTCTAGTAATCTAGGCGTGAAAATCGAGTAACTTTGTTAAGGTGATTTTTCTAAGCGTAGATTAGATATGGCAGAAGGCCGGAAATATAGTACGCCCAGTGAGGATCGAGCTCACTACTCATTTGTAATGGTTTACTATCCATTACACAATGTCGAGGAGATCCTGTCCTTTGTTAAGTGATAACGTTGTGAAGCGTTTTTTGCTCTGTCTAGATAATCTAGGCGATGAGTACTTTACTTTAACGAGTGGGTAAATGTTTGCCTTTTGGTTATTCTTCCTTTTTTTCTTTCTTTGTTCGGAATTTTTTTCTTCGCTGTTAGGTCTTCTGGCAAGTTTACTGTTGGTCACACCAAAATACTTCTTATATATATATATATATATATGTGTGTGTGTGTGTGTGTGTGTGTGTGTGTGTGTGTGTGAAGAAGTATAGTTTTAAGGTGTGCTATATTTATGGGATAAAGGGCTCAATATCAGAGACAGAGCGTATGTAAAGATAAATGTGAACATTCCCAGATCAAAACAAACTACTAATTGGGAATTAATCCAAATAAATAAATAAACAATAAACAAATTAACAAACCATTCCCGCCAAAATAACCGTTAGAATAGACTACCCACAATGCACCACTGACCCGTATATATAAATGGTCGAGAAAAAAAACAACAATTTGTGTGTGTGTATTTCTTTGAATAATATAGACATATTATTACTATTTATTTCATAATCCTTTCTAGTTTTCTAATCACTTTCTTGATGTTAAAATGAAATTCATCAAGGAATTCACGGTAGTTTCAATCTCCTCCATGATCATCCTCAGAGGTGAATTAAAAGACAAACTTATTGTAACTGCGATCTTTGTGAACGCGCTCTGTTATAATTATTTTAAAATTTTAAATTTATCCTTTGTAGCGATGGATTTCTTTCTTTTTTTTTTTTTTTGTGCAAAACAAGCGTCCCAATCTAAGGGAGCTAACCAGAAATGCAAAACCGTATTAAACGTTTGTTAAATGCGCTTCAGCACATTGCTGCTATACTTGTAATAAATTTTATTCAGTGTTTGGTTGTTTGGTATTGATATAGAAGAATTTCACCTTAACATCATAATTAGAGAATTAGAAAGGATTATTATAAAAATAAATAGACATACTATGACTATATTATTCAATGAAACATCTTTGAATGAAGATATACTCTATATATATATATATATATATATATATATATTATAATCGGAAGAAAGTTAACAGTCAATGGTGATACTTTGTGCTGTATATAATTCTTCTTAATTAGAGTTTCTTAATTTCTTTCTCTTGAAATAATTCTATTGCGCTCGACTCTGCTACCGACCGTTATATTGGCGCCAATTCCAAAGTTTCTTTCATCTTCGCGTTTCCCAGACTCTTTTATTTTTTTAAATTCTTTATTAACAATAATATTGGTAGCTTTTATGTTTTGTTTTTTTGTTTGTTTGTTTTTGTTTTTTGGGGGATTTTTTTTTTTAATTTTCTCTTATTTGGACTCGTTTCTATATTGTGAGTCATCTTGTTTTTATTTTTATTTTTTTCCTCTCTTCTTTTGCAAATTTTTCTTCTTCTTTTAAAATGTTCTTTATTCCTTCCTATCTTTCAGTTTTATCTGTCCACTCTCTTTGTCCCACATCGAATTTCTTTCTATCTGTATCCCTTTTTCTATCTCTGTATCCTTTCATCTTAGCGCTTTCTTCTCTGTCGATTTTCAGTTCTCCTCTTTTCTCTTGATCTATCTAGTTTCCCGTTGTGTTTTCTTTATTTCTCTCGCTCTTTCTCTTCTCTTCTCCTACCCTCTCTTCGTTGTCGCTCTGCGATTTTTCTGCCCTCTTTTCTCTCTCACTCTTCATTTTTTTTCATTCTCTCATTCCATTTGTTTCGCCTCCTCTCTGTTTTCTCCCTCTCCCTCTATTCGTTTTACATTCCCACTTTTTCCCCTTCTCTACCTCGTTCTTTCTTTATTCATATTTCTTCTATTCGCCCTCCCTGTCTCTCTGCCTCTCTCTCTCTCTCTCTCTCTCTCTCTCTCTCTTAGTTTCATCTTCAGGCATTCCACTCTCTCCGTTACACCATTCCTCTCTTTCTCTCTATCTCTTCCTTTCCTATTCTTCATTTCTCTCCCCTCTACTCTCTCTCTGTCTCTCTTTCCAATGCAACTCTGCTTATTCTCTCTCTCTGTTTTTATTTTCTTTCATTCTCTCTCTCTCTCTCTCTCTCTCTCTCTCTCTCTCTCTCTCTCTCTCTGTCTTCATTACAAACTCCCTAATTTTCTCCCTTTGTGTTTCACCTTCCCTCTTCTCCCCGCTATTTTTATCTTTCACACTGCTCTCTCTCTCTCTCTCTCTCACGTCCCTCTTTTTGTTCTCTCTCTCTCTCTAACTCTCTTTCTATTTCTCCACCTCTCTCTCTCTCTTTCTTTATTCATGACACTCTTTGCTTTTTCTTTCTTCTCATCTTATTCTCTTTCTTCCATCCACTTCAGCTACCCCTTCATTCATTTATTTATTCGTTCCGACATCAATCTTTACTACCTTTTGTTCCTTGAGCTTAAAGTTTTCAATTCCTTCCCTCCGCCATAACCTGACATCACTGCAGCAATACCCGACCCCGTCTTTTTCCCTCTCCAGTTCTTTGATTAGCCATTTACTGCACAGCCTCCTTGAAACCAAGATTTCCTTTTTTATATTTTTTTCTCTATATTCGACAACTGATACCATCAACTGCAAATATTGTCCTCTCTTATCATATTTGATGTCAAAATCTGTGTAGCCTTTCATCATAGTCAATTGAAAATTCACTGACAATCACGGACGCCATTCAAAATGTATCTGTGCGTGTTTTTTTTTTAATACCCCTTTGTCTTCTTCTGAAGTCTAGAAAATTCATTGTTTGGTGTTGATCATATAAAGCAGTGGATCTCAACCTTATTTCTTTTGCCTAATACACCCCTTTAACCATAAGTCAGGATGTCATCCCCTGCCACTTTCCAAGATTTTCCGGCTCGAAAGATTGCATTCCAAATATGTATATATTTGTGAAAATCTTCATACTCTCCCATATTTGTACAGGTTCGTTTATAGGGATTATTTTTATAGAGTAGTTCTACACATTTAATTACAACAGAAAATACTGACGTATATTTAGACTAATAATACATGTACAGTAATTTGTTTTAATTTATAACTAATTATTAAACTGAAGCATAAATCAACAAATAAAAAGTTCAATAGAATACCAAGGTTTTGTAATTCAATAAACAAAATTCTGTAAATAAAAAACAAGAAAAAGTAAAAAAAAATGTTTGCCTGCCCGACTAAAATTCCAACCTGGGAAGAAATCCCCTCCCCTGTTTGAGAATAGATGATATAAAGTTTACTGTTTTTCTTTTCTCCTAAGATATACGTATTTCAAAGACGGATATGCAATGTGATAGATCCTGACCTGGCATCTTGGCTCCAGTTACTTTCTCACAGTCGTGATATGGCTTCCCTCTGTCTTTTCTACAAATATTTTCATGGCAACTGCTCTAACGAGGTATTTTTACTGGTGCCACAACTGAATGAATTTAAGAGTGCTACTAGGTTGGCATATCGGTCCCACCTTTTCACTGTCAAAACAGTTAAATGCAACCGCCTCTTCTATTCTAATAGTTTCTTCTCTCGCACTTCCTATCAGTGGAACCCCCCCTCCTCCTATTTGCTACCCTGATAGCTATAATCTTTAAAAATTTAAATGTAATGTCAATCGGCATCTTCTGATGCCTTGATCTTGATCCCCGTCCTTCTGTTTATCCTTTCCTCAAACACCCCCCCCTCTTTACACTTAAATTCACTCTCTGTAACCACGCCCTCTTTACTCTTGTTCCCACTCTCTGTAACCCCTTGCGTGCTAGTGGCACTCCCGGTTTGCTTGGGGGTGAAATGCTTTAAAAAAAGAAAATTAACTTGAGGCTTGTAATTAGCACAAATATATTTTTCTTCTTTTTCTACTCACTTTACTTCTTTCATGAGCCTTTCACAATGCGGGCTATGATGGCTCTCCACAACTTCCTCTCCCTAAATTTGAGTGAATGAAGCCAGAGAGTTTTGGCAATGATCATTCTTCGTTGAACATAGTGAACTGGCGCTACAGAATCACAAACAAATAACGTTACCACATAAGAGAAAAAACACATCATTTGAGAACTACCAACAATAGCAACAAATAGAATGGATGGCGCATGTAACTCGAAGATAAAATAATGACATAATCAAGAAGTTGACATTCCACACCACTTCAAATAAAAGGTTAGGATCCTTCCACCACCAATAGTGAAAAGAGCGATAACAGCTAGTGGACTTGAAAAACCTATTTTCCTAAAAAAAAATCTTTTGAGAGAAAGATTTATTAAACATGGATCCTGAATGTTTCATTGTAGAGAAACGGCTAATATTCTTCTTCTTCTTCTTTTCGCCGTGTCTATTCAGGGCGTAAGTGATTATGGCTCTCCACTGCCTCCTATCCCATGTAGTTTCCAATAAGTTCTGTATTTTTACTACTTCTCCCAGACCCACTTGCTTAAGCCCGTTAAGTATGTCACGTGTTGCTTTCCCTTGTCCTCCTTTCCTTCTATCCGCCCTGTGAATATCAGATTCTCTAAGCCTTCCTTTCTCATTACTTGTCCCAGAATTTTCAGCTGCCTCTTCCTAAAGTTAACCATATGTTTCCTCTTTGTTTTCATCCTCTCCAAAACCTCATCGTTGCTCACACGATCGGTTCATGAAATGTTTAGCATCCTTCTGTAGAACCATACTTTTGTTGCCTCGAGTCTGTTCTTCATCTTTAAGGAGATCATACAACATTCGCTGTCTTAAAGGAGGACAGACATCACGTAGCATTTCAGTACTCTTTCCTTTGTTACCAACGAAATCCTCCTGTCTCCTAACACTCTCCTTAGCTTTTGGAATGCATTCTTGGCCATCCTAATACGTCTTTGGATCTCAGCGTCGTACTTACCGCCCTCTGTCAGAACACTTCCCAGATATTTAAATTTCTGCGCCTACCATTCTTCCATTTATCATTCATCTTTGATTTAATTCCCACTTTAATCAAATTTGGTAAGTAACTCGATGTTTCCTCCACCCGGCTTTCATTCTGTTCTGTGACTGTTAAATTCTCCAGACCGTCTTTCCTCGTTGTGTTTCCCAGAATTTTGTGTCCTACCAGTTCAAGCATTCGAGAGACTTAATAAAGAAAAGGGAAGGGTTCGAAGAAAAAGCCATCGTCTGATCCGACGTACTTTTGCCTGCCCGCTAACGGAAAGCTTCCCAGACCAGCAAGACTGAATTATTCTTTTGAAAAGACTGCATATTCTGTCGTTCAGATCTTCTCAGAAGCCCACTAGTCCTGGGTATGACGATAGATCGAGAGATTGAAGCTTTCAGGAACGTGGAAACACATCTTAATTGCTGTTTTTAACAGGTCTAACCTGTCCATGAGTGGTAGAATCTGTTAGGGTCCCAGCGATGGGCAAATAGTGAACACCTCAAACAAAAAACTATGAAATTTTATTCAGAATTGAGGTGATTTCTGTGTGATCCTATTTTTGCAGAGAATTGAGATCTTAATAATACACTTAAATATAAATAATATATAATCTACTTAATTTTTTTTCTACAATTTTTAACTGACTTATAGATATATTCAATAAATCAAGAAACGTTCGAACGTCTTATCTGATTGACTGAATCAAGAGTTTCACGTCGAAACGATCGTCAGATGATTGAGAATCAATTGAACTTACCAAGTCTCATATTTATACATTCGGAAAGGAACGCATATTCTACCTTTCAAATTTCAAATTCTTTGCGGTGATGGCGAAATAAATAAATAAAAATAAATAATAACAAGAAGACCAAAATATCACCATCTCTAAAAATAGGCGGATAATAAATATCGCCAGGCTAACGAAGCAATAGTTCGTCGAGCCAATTAAAAAGATTTTAGAGGTACGATGTAAGAAAAGAAATAAAAAAATAATAATAATAATAATAAGGAGACAAAAATTTCCCCATCCCTAAAAATAGATAATTCGACCAACCAATCAGAAAGTTTTTCTCAACAAGGATATAAGTCTATGGGCCAATGAGAAGCAAGCGATCATTTTAAAGTTGATCTATAAATGTGTACATAAACAAATGGAAAATGAATTAAAGTCAGAGTAGATAAATGAATTTTGTCAATTCTCCGATGCTACAGTCATCGTTATATGCTTAGAAACGCAATACGGCATTTGTATGAGTAGTTGGCAAGCCTAGATGGTGTTGTAAACAAGGGAAGGTTGGTAATGAACGATAATACTTTAGACAAGACCAACACATATAAGATTCACCAGCGGCGCGTAAAAGTAGTATTCAACTGCTAGAAGTAAACCAAGTGAATTCCACAATGAATCTCCAACTGCAGGATATCTACCAACTGCCGCAGGCGGTCAGATGTGGCACAAGGCCGAATTTAATGTGGGGTACCCAGCCCTTAGACTCGGCCAAAACTTCCCCGTAGACCCCGTATAAAACTGGGTCGGGTAGCTGTTTCCCGAGACGAAACTGCAACTATGATGAGCAGACTTTAGATATAGTTTCTGGGAAAGAGCGTGTTATCTAGCGTGATCAACAACTGGAGGGGGAAAAAGCCAGCACGCTCAAGCCCTCGGCCACGATGACTTGTGACTTTGTGCTAGCACAGCTATCGATGGCACATAAGGGTTCCGTCTACCGAATTTCACTCACAAGACTTGGGTCAACCCATGTTATGGTTTTCAAGCACTTTCCAAAGGTGCCGCACGCTGGGATCGATCCCGCCAGTCCGATAACATCAGGAAGACTCCTTCTTGACAAATCACCATGGTGAGATTCGAACCCCGTTTTCATGGTCAGAATGTGAACGTTCTAACCACACGGCCACGTGCCAATAAACGTATCACACACACACACACACACACACACACACACACACACACACACACACACATATCTGTGTGTGTATAAAAATTCAGTTATAAATAAAAAATATATTTGTAAAAAAATATAAATGATGACAAAAGAAAACTTATCTTTACCGATGAACTTTATCAAGGCAAATGCACACAAAATCTATCAGTGAACGAAACGTGTCGGTAAAGAAAAGTTCCATATATATATATATATATATATATATTTAATAAAAAGGCTTAAACACTAATATTCCATGGTCATAATTTATTCCCTTGGAATCGTAAATACGATCCAATTGATCAGACCTAAAAATTCAAAAAGAAAACAGAAAAAAACAACTCCGGAAATAAAAAATAAAATTTAGTGAGACTGTATGTATGAGAGAGTGGGACGAATGTTAGAGTAAATGAAAGCTATAGAGAGGGGTAACAGACGAGAGAAGAACAGGAAGGTCTAAAGATGAAGGGGATTAAAATTTAACAGAGAGAAGTTTTAAAGAGGGGAGTTAAAGACGGTTCAAGTGAGAGAAATATGAATGTTAGCTAATTGCGTCAATTCTATATAATATATATATATATATATATATATATATATATATATATATATAT